TTGCAGACACACACAGCCACATACCCACACCCACAAAGAACAGGGCGATACAGCCACACACATACCCCCAAAAAGAACAGGGCAATACAGCTACATACACACAAAAAAAGCTGGAAAAAGTCACAATAAAAAGTTATAATCTTCAGTGATCTGAGAGCAAACCTCAGTGCTCACTGGAAGGAAGGATCAGTGAACTGGATACAAGATGAAATTATTCCCTGAAGACGTTACAGTCTAATGATGCTGAACTATGCTGACACGTTACATGACAGAGCAAGGATTTACTCTCTGTGGAGCAGTGCCCATAACACAGGGCACCCCTGCATGTGTGTGCCCCCAAGAAGAGAGACATCAATGCTGCCAAGCAGGGGCTTTGGGGGTGTAGATGAGGAAGGGTCTTCTGAAGGGGTACTAGTGATTTTTCTACAGTATTTTAATACCGATATATATTTTTAAATCCTGTAATTCAATCAAAAGTCCTACTCAAAGGCCTAAAACGAACAGAACTGCTGGAGGGTGCAGCGAAGACTGCAGAAGACGCAGCCTTGCTCTATACCAAAGGGGGGAGGGGCAGCAAGGGCCCGGCCGGGAGCAGATGTGGGCGCTGGGCGAGAAGAGACAGGGTATGGTTAACACCCTAGGAGGCACAGTCAGGCAGCCCACAGTGGGCTGGGTGAGGGAAGGGCATGAAGGGAAGTCACTGGAGAGGCAGGGTATTAACTGGTAGGACAAGCCCAATGTAACAGCCCAAACGTCCCCCACTCTGGCAGCTGTTGTCACCTCTGGTACAGTCCATAAACACAGGCCGGGGACGCGGGGGACAAAACCAAGATGGTGCCCTGAGACCACAGGAGTGGTCTTTGCATAAAGAGACACTCCGTGCTGGGACCTCAGAGGGGACTCCACCCCTGGCCCTGACCAGCCGCTCGTAAACATGCCCTGGCCAGAAGAGGACACAGACCGTGAGGCAGACAAGGCTGGAAACCAGTGATGGGAGCAACGCAAGGAGGCCATGCCTCGTGCTGCCCTCCTCCTGGAGACTAGTGATGGCCACCAGCACCCCGACGGGAGTCACCTGGGGATTTCTGTGCCGGGCTTTCCCCTGGAAGGTCTAACCAGTTTGGTTACGAGTTCTCTTTTAAAATTATCAACTCAGTAGAAGTTAAAGAACCCTTGGGTTTAATAATTTGTATTTTCCATAAAGGAGATATCCCTGCTCTAAAAATTCAAAACAGAACAGCACCGGGTCAACGAAGCGGGAGAGACCCGCCACGGGCGGACCGACATGAGGCCGCGACGATGGGCCTGAGTAGAGCGGGCAGGTTTCCTTTCGTCGCACGTGGCGTTGCTGAGCTGGAGGCGACCTGGCACTGACAACAATGACAACTCCACGTTTCAGTCCCTCCCACGGCAGCCCAGGGGACCACTCAATATGGTAACATGTCACACACACTGGCGACCTCACCTGACAGGACAGGCTGGAGGATCAGGTGATTTTAAGGAAACTCATGCACTGTGCTCACGAGTTCTTTTTAGTACACAACAACCAGCCATTGTGCAAAGGTATTTTTATACACAAGATGGAAACTGTACCAGTGCAGGGGCCTCATCTCTGAGGTTGGCCTGGGTCTGACAACTCAAGGCAGCCGAGGTTTCAAGGGGTTGGTGAGAGTGGTCAGCATGTGTGCACCCTGAGGCTGAGTAGACAGTGCTCCTCCAGGGGACCAGGAAGTCCTGTAGCCTACCCTCGACCATCACCCCTCACTTCATGGGCTCCATGGGAAAGGCCAAGAAGCACTTTCTCGTCCACTGGGACCATGGGGCCAAACCTGTGGAAGCCAGGCTGGCCCCTGCTGCTCTTGGATGGGTGGGCAGAGAGCCTGAGCACCACCCATGACAGGGAGATGGTAGACTGGACACGCTCCAAGAGGAGGCACCTACAGCCAACTGTCTGGTGCCAGCAGGCTGGAAGGGGCCGAGATCAGCTGCTTGGGGGGAAGAGAACACCCAAAGGAATAGGGCCTGGTAGGAAGAGCATGAACACTGGGCCAGGACGCCTGGAGTGCCCTCCAATGTAGCCAGGGGCCTCTCCCAGTGCCAAGCATCCTGACATCATGGGGATGAATGGAGGGTGGAGGGGAGGCTGAAAGCCTGCTCTGCCAACGTGAGATCACGTTCAGTAAATCTCAGTTTACTGTTTTCTGAAATGCAGATACCACCACTCATCTCTCTAGGTAGTTGTAAGAAATAAACGAGGTGCTACATGACAGGCATTTGCAGGGCAGTTTGATAAACACGTGAGGGTCGGCCAATTGTCACACTGTAAAAGCAGAAGTAGGCTCACCAAAGGCAACACAAAAGAACAGATGACAGATGGAGAAGCCAGAAAATTCTCAAGGTCAGAAAAGCCAGCAAAATGGCAACCAGCTAAGGAGATACTCAAAGATACGAAAGACTGATGCTCTGCAAGGGCGAGGGAAGGAGCAGAGACAGGGGAAGCACACAAGGCGCAGGACAGTGGGCACTGTGGGCGGCTCGGGGCCAGCGCACACAGGAGGCTGCGCCTGGGGCAGGGGGCTGCGCCCGGGGCGGAAGGCTGTGCCCGGGGCAGAGGGCTGCGGAGGCTGGGGGAGGCTGCACCCGGGGCAGAGGGCTGCAGGGACTGGGGGGTGCGGGGGGGGGGGGGCAGGTGATGCCCCTCCCCAGAAGACCCGCCCACCATAAGAGCAGAGGACCAAGAGGCCTGGGAAGCTCGGACCACCTTCCCACGCATGCCTGAGAGCACCACGTGGAAGAGGACGTGGGACACGGGTCTGGGAAGCTGGGGGGCTCAATGACATGGCAGCTCCACAGCACGGTCATCACACAGCAGGGAGAGGCCACACTCTCAAAGTGCCAACTGAGCAGCTTGAGACGAGACCCCTGGTCAGAAATGGTCCTTGTGAGCAGGTTGGCCCAGGGCCAGATGGTTTCCATCAGGCTCTAAACGCCAAAGCTCAAGTAAAACACACGATCTCAAATGATTTCCGAAGTCAGATGTTTCAGAAGTCTACGGGGACAGCAGCACAGGCACCGATCCTCTAGGGTTAGCGAGGTGACAGGAGAATAGGGCCTGCGTACCAAGCCCCACTAACGTTGCTGTAGGACAGGACATGAGGTTGCAGAGAAGTACTCACCTGCAAACAGCCTATAGGTTCTGTGGCATTTAAAGTTCTTATTTTTGACTCCTGGAGACAGCAGTTCTGAAAGACAAAACATCAAGAGCTCTGATCCATAAAGAGGACTTGCAGGAAAGGGACAGAGTCACCACAGCCGAGGGGCCACCCTGCTCTCACCTCTTCTCTATGAAGCATTCAAGCTGGCAGATGATGCTAAAGTATCAACCACAAGCAAGAAAAGATGCAGCCACCAACCCAGTGCAGAGGCTCACCTGGGGTGTGAAGGCACAGGCTCGTACCCCAAGCTTCATAGGTATCTGTTTCCCCCTTGCTGCTTATCAAAGAGAACCAAAAAACTCACTGCCTGTGAAGGACGTAAGAGCTCGGAGGGAGAGAAATGGCTGGAAAACCCCACCAGCACAGGAGCCTGGCGGGAGCCCCTTGGCTGAGGGGATGACCCCATGGTGTTGGCGTATGAAGGTGACACTAGCCCAATGCACTAGGGTCTGGACCAGTTGACTAGATTCTGAGGTACTGGGACTGGCAAGGCGGGTGCATGTGGGTGTGCTGTGCTGTGGGCCAGGAAACAAAGGGGTGGGGGCCATTCCTCTACAAGACTAGCCAGGGCCATAAGCTCTCTCCTCTGCTCGCCCAGCATCTTGGTGTTTTTACAATCACTTCCAGCTTGGTACGTGCCCAGTCAAGTGTCAGTGCTAGCAAATATATTTTTTACAAATTCGGAAGCTATCAAAGAAAGTTTCCCTTTAAGATCTGCTTCCAGCCAGACAACTTGAACTTGGCACTCTCTTGAGTTGCTTTCTCAATGTACCGAAACTGCTGGGCTCCAACGACCTGGTAGAAGACAGCCAGCTAATAAAGTGTCACAGACGTAAGGTGAGTGTCACTGCTGCCAGGGACAGGGAACTCTCTCAATCACCTGAAAGACCCATTCACCCAAGCTGGCCAACAGTGCACTTAATAGGAGGGAAACTGTCATACACCATGAATCAGTGAGGTGCTGCAGTATCACTGGGTCACAGGATCAAGGAACTGCCCAATAAACAGTGCTTCGCTGCTACAGTACAGACGGGTTAAAAAGAACAGCGCTAGCCATCTTCAAACTGCAGGCTTTCAGCTACTTACTGAGCAGAGATGCACTCCAAACAGACAAACATGTGCACTTTGTGAAGGCTGGAAGCTCCTATTTCTCCAGTCTAGTTAAAGACGTGGTTTACTAGATTCTGTTCTGTTTAAGCAGCTCTTTATAAGAATTTTAATAAAGGTCTACTGGAAGTCCAGAAACAGAACATCCTTAGTCATGATGTCCTATCCTAAGTGTGAAGCACGTCACCACGATTCCCGCCTGGTGGGTTACCTTTGCTGATCTCTAAGTCCACAGGATACTCAATATTTTTGATAAGCTTCTGACATCCACCAGTCTTCTCGTAAACAAATCGTTTGAGGTGTAGCACAAGGACCGGAGGGAGCTTTTCCAAAGTCACTCTTCGACTTATCTCCACCTAAGACACAAAACACACAAGGACACACCGTCCCGTCTTACTCAAGGCACAGACACAGACATATCCAGCCCCCATCTCTGCATGTTGACGCCTCTCAGATCCCGAGGCATGTTTATCCATGTCTGGTCGTGGAATCTCCTGAAATTCTAACAAGGCTGCTGACACGCTTCTTTGAAGAATCACACATCCCCTAACACAGCGTCACAGGCTCACCAGGCCCCAGAAAGCCTACCCATGAATTCCAGAGGGGAAGAACCTTTGCTCTACGGCATTAACAACAAAGGGACATAGAAAGAAAAAGCTCTATGACCTCAATTACGTAAGACGACAAGAAAGGCAACATACAGAGAACAAAGTTCATCAGTTGTCACCAGAGGCAGGATGGAGGCAGGAAAGGGAGGTGAACGGCTGGAAACACTGCACTGACGGCGGCCAGCACTGCCGGCTGATCAGTGTCCTTGCTGCCAGTAAGCTGTACGCCTTACTGGGTGTACCTGCAAAAGTTGTGTCATCAATGTATTTATGACAATGACCCCCCCTAAAAAAAAACAGTAGCTGCTGAGGCCACTTCTGTCCTAACCAAATCCCACATAGGATTCACTTCCTTGGTTTATGATTTAGGGTCACGGACAGCCTGGTCAATGGGCCTAGTAATGTGTTTGGTGCTTCTGTTCTACCTCCTATTTCACTGTGGAGAGCCCGGGGTCTTAAAAGCTTGCAAGAGGCCATCCTGAGTATGACCATTGGTCACTATTTCACTATTCACCTGCGGTAAAAGGAGAGGCAGGAGTAGGAGGAGGATACGCAAAGTGTACCTAATTGCCTCCATGAACAAGTGGCTCCTCTGCCAGGAGATCAGAACTGGATAGTGCCTGGCAACCATTACTAAACATTTTGATCCAAGATTCTGTAGAAGGAAACCTAATCAAAAGGGGGAAAACAGAACAGAATTTCAAATTCTCATGGAGCCATGGAGGGTAAATGAACCTCTTGAAATTACTGCTCTGAGACAATGTTTAAATCTTAAACCAAGAATAATATCCCCTGAAATCTTAAAAGCAAGCAACAGTTTAGCTTAACTAATAAAAAAAAATGGTCTGCCTTGAGCATTAAGCTCTTCCAAGAACTATCTGTACAAGATCAAAGTGACAATGGCAACCCAAAAGATTAGACAGGAACCTTAGGGGACAGAGAGTTGATGTTAATAAGGGAGGAACAACTCAGAGAAGGAGGGTAGGAATGGCTGCACAACTCAGGTGAGAACGGTGGCCGAACTCAAAGAACGGAATCAAGGTCACTAAACCATCCAGTATAAAATACTGCTTTATGTTTTTTGCATATATTCTCAACAACAAAATTTTAAAAATTTAAAGAAAAAAAAATTAAAAGGGAAACTTTGTTGTTGTTGTTGCTAGGTGCCACTGCTCCAACTCACAGTGACCCTGCGCACAACAGAATGCAACACTGCCTGGTCCTGTGCCGTCCTCACCATCCTTGGGCCCACCCTGCAGCCACCATGTCAATCCATCTCACTGAGAGTCCTTCCCATCTCCACCGACCCTCCGCTTGACCAAACACGGTAATATCCTTCTTCAGGGACTGGCCCCTTCTGACAACATGACCAACGGAGGTGAGACAATGTCTGGCCATTCTCACTTCCAAGGAGCATTCCAAGACAGTTTTGTTCATTCTTCTGGCAGTCCACGGTATTTTCAGTATTCCTTGGCAAAACCACAATTCAAAGGCATCAACCCTTCTTTGGTCTTCCTTATTCACTGTCCAGCTTTCACATGCACTTGAGGTGATTGAAAATACCATGGTGTGGTAGTTCGGTTTGTGTGTCAACTTGACTGGGCCTAGTTGAGTGGCTGGGCAGCTGGTGGTAGTTAATCCCCATGAGGAGACTGGCAATGAACTCCATGGTGGGATCTACCACAAGCAGCTGTGTAGCTGCCTTTGAGTATGTGGTCTGCTTCCTGTATATAAGGAGAAGACTTTGGAAACGGTCTCTAGCCTATGGCACGCTTAGACCTTGCATGTAGCCGTGTCATTGCTCAGCAGCCTGCTATGCTCTGCCGACCTTGGGACTTACAATGGACTTAAGTTAAAAGCCTGTCATGTGGTTTGGTAACATTGGGACTGTGCCTTTTTACTTGTCAACCTTGGGGCTTCTCAGCCTCAGCAGCCAGCAGCTGTCTGAGTGAAGAAATGCCTCTAGCTCCAGTGGGCTAGGAGCAGGAGGCAGAGCTGGACCCCAAGGTAGAGGGGCTTTCACCCAGCCCCTAGAGCCTGGGACTCTGAACTTGGACATAAAGCCTCCGAATTGTAAGAATAAACTCCTGTTTGTTAAGGCCATCCCATTTGTGGTATATTTCTCGTCAAAGCGGCACTAGGTAACCAGAACACATGGCTTGAGTCAGGCACACCTTAGTCTTCAAAGTGACATCTTTGCTTTTTAACACTCTAAAGAGGTCTTCTGCAGCAGATTTTCCCAGTGCAATATGACATCTGATTTCTTGACTGCTGCTTCCATGGGTGTTGACTATGGATCCAAGTAAAATGATATCCCTGACAACTTCCATCTTTTCTCCATTTATCATGATGCTCCTTAGGGGTCCAGTTATGAGGATTTTCATTTTCTTTATGTTGAGCTATAATCCATATTGCAGACTGTAGTCTTTAATCTTCATGAGTAAGTGCTTCAAGTTATGTTCAGTTTCAGCAAGCAAGGTTCTGTTGTCCGCATATCACAGGTTGTTAATGGTTCTTCCTCCAATCTTGATGCCACATTCTTCTACATATAGTCCAGTTTCTCAGATTATTTGCTCAGCATACAGATTAAGTAAGTATGGTGAAAGGATACAGCCCTGAAGTATACCCTTCCTGATTCTAAGCCATGCAGTGTCCCCTTGTTCTGTTTGAAGAACAGCCTCTTGGTCTATGTACAGGTTCCTCATGAGAATAATGAGGTGTTCTGGAATCCCATTCTTCACAACATTATCCATAATTTGTTATGAACCACACAGTCGAATGTCTTTGTATAGTCAATAAAACACAAGTAAACCTCTTTCTGGCATTCTTTGCTTTCAGCCAAGATCCAACTGACGCCAACAATGACTCCCTCGTCCCACGTCCTCTTCCGAATGCAATTTCCGTTTCTGGAAGTTCTCTGTCAACATACTGCTGCAATCATTTTTTAATTATCTTTAGCAAGATTTTACTTGTAATATTAATGATATTGTTCCATAATTTCCACATCCTGTTCAATCATCTGAATGGCCATAAATACGGACCTCTTCCACGCAGTTGAACAGGTAGCTGTCTTCCAAATTTCCTGGCATAGACAAGTAAGGGCCTCCAGAGCTGCACCTGTTTGCTGAAACATCTCAAGGGGTATCTCCTTCAATTCCAGGGTCTTTTTTTTTTCAGCCAATTTCTTCAGTGCAGCTTTGATGTCTTCTTTCAATACCACTGGTTCTTAACCATCTGCCACCTCCTGATGCAGATGAACACTGACCAATTCCTTTCGGTACAGTGACTCAGTGTATTCCTTCCATCTTCTTTTGATGTTTCCTGCATCATTCAATATTGTGCATTGTTTCGTGATCCTAAAATAGATGGACATCAACCAATTCTTTTCGGTACAGTGGCTCTGTGTATTCCTTCCTTTTTTTTTTTTAAATTTTTATTGTGATTTGGGTGCAAGTTTACAGAGCAAATTCATCTTCCATACAGCAGTTCACATACACTTTGCCTCATGACATTGACTGCATTTTCCCACAATGCAACAGCTTCTCTCCCACTTCCTACGCAGAGTTATTTCTTCCCTGTGTCCTTCCCTCCATGTACTCCTGCCCCCTGAGCTGTCTCCCTGTGCATGCACAGCCCTTCTATTCTCCCATGAGTGTTCTCTCCAAAGAGTGTATCTACCTAATGTAAATGTTCACCTCATATGCCTGTCTTTTGTTTGGGTGGAAGCTACAGGAGTGGGTTCAATTCCAGACCTGAAGGGCAGCTAGAAGCCATAGTCTCAGGGGTATTAACCTGCTTTTAATAACTCTCGTAGTATTTACTAACTTGACGCCTATTAGTTTTGTAGTCGTCTCACTCTTCAGGATTCAGTACATGCCCTGCAGCACACTTTCACAGTTCAAATCTGTGCTGCTCTGGAACAGAGCTAGATTTTACTTTTTTATGAAACCACATCTTCACAAACACTGTTTCATCCTTTCATTTACAGCCGTTTTTACTTATTTGATGCTCCCTCTATTTATTTGGAAAATCCTTTTATTGTTGTTATATGCCGTCGAGTCAGCCCTGACCCATAGCGACCCCTCCTTGGGTTTCCGGATTGCCCAACCTTCCTTCCGGGGAGTGGCTAGTGGGTTTGAACCGCCAGCTTTCTGGTTAGCAGTCAAGTGCCTTAGCCACTACGCTACCAGAGCTCCCAATCCTTTTATTAGAAATATTTAAAAAGCCAATCATCCAAAAACTAGAAGCATATATAAAACAGAAACTTCCAGAGGCCTGCGTTGACTGCTGGTGGAAGGTATGGAAGGACATCAAACTTCTGGAAAGGACGTTGAGCCCTTCCAGTGCTGGGCTTTCCTCGCTTTCCAGGACCAGGCCTGCCTCCCACCTAGATGAAGACCCGGGGTGGGCAGCAAGCCTTGCGCTTCCTCAGGTTCTCGCTGTGTTTTTGTTGCAGCACCTTTAAGAAGCATCTGCAGATGAATGCAAAGTGGGAGCTCAGCACAGCAGCTGACCAGAGATGAGGACTCCTGGCTCCAGCTTTCTCACTTAGGATGAATCCTCAGAGTTGGACCAGGTTAATTTTGGCTGATTTTTCACACTAACGATCTAGGATTCTAACTTGAAACCTTTCAGTCAGTTCATCGCGTGGCTAATCCCAACTCTTCAGATGTGTCTTGTGGGGTTCCAAATTAAGGCATATTTTCTAATTACCCAACAAAACCAGACTTCTCCGTGATTGCAAGTACTTGCATTGTCTCAGTTTCCTTCCTGTGTTTCCATACAGAAAAGACTTTTGACCTACAAAGAATACAATGAAACTCAGGAATTTAAAGAGTAAGTTTAGAACCCACACTCCACAAAGGCCGTTTCCGCCTGCACAGATCTTCCCGCCTGCTGCCCACACCCCTTCCCCAGGCCTCTGCTTTAACAAGTCCCTGCCCATGTCTACACACACCGCCCACCAGCCACCAAGCCACGCACCACCCAAGCACAACTTCTTTCTTGAAGCGGTCCTTCAGGCCAAACTCAAGTTCAAATCTGAGTAGGCTATCCAGCCTCTGCTTGCCACTCTCTCTCATTAGGTGACTACTATCCTGTCTGGACCAGTCCCTCCTCCAACCCAAAGGTGAAACCTAACTACAGCCGGAACAAGAGACAGAGGACAGCGACATCAGGAAAGGACCTTACTCGGGGCAGCCCAGGGAGACACAAAAAACCTCCCCGGCCAGACAGCAGCTAAGACTTCCCTGGTTTGGCTGAAAGAAGAGAACAAAGCACAAACAGTGCTCATGGCTGCCAGGACAGTAATCCCATCTCCGGAGAGTTGCAACTGCCACAGAAATGCGCCACGCTGACAAGCCACCCACAGCCAGATCCGCACACCTAACCTTACACTAACCGACAAACACCCACTCACACTCTCTGCCTTTAACTCCCACCGCCAGGCTCTTCTCAGCTTAGTGACGTAAGCCAACTGCCAAGTGTCCTGTCCTGAACCACTTTTTTTTTTTATGTTAAGCAAAACTGCTTGTGAGAAGCAAGTTGGGAAACATGGTAGGAGTTGGGGCATGGCTGCAGCTCCTATAAGTGTCTGGCTTCACAAAGCCAAAGAGGGGACAGTAGGTGCACTAGAGGTCCTCATCCTACTTTTTGTGCTTTTGTATACAGAGGACAAGCCGCAAGACAAAAACGGGTCTACCTCAGCCATGCAGTGTGCTGGCAGGTATGCTATGCTGGGATGTCTTATTTCTTCTGAACATAATGGCTGACAGCCACCAAACGCTGCCCTAGTATTTAAATAAACCTCCTAGGAATGCTATGAACTGTTCCCTCAGCACTGCCTGTGATTAATCTGCATTCAACTGCCCACCTCATCTGTGTGGATTCTCCACCACAAAGCAATGCATCCAGGTACCAGAGAAGCCCTTACTGCAGAGCAGAAAGAAAAACCAAACTCACTGCCGATGAGTCAGTTCCACTACGGAAGTAGATTGCCCTACCTTCCTTCCGAGGAGAGGCTGAACCAACAGCCTTCTGGTTAGCAGTCAAATGCCTTAGGCACTACGCTACCAGAGCTCCCAGAAGACAGACGTAAAGCGGCACACAGACAGCCAGCAACGAGTGAGTGCTCATGCTACTCAAAGCAGACCACACCAGCAGTCACTCCACAGCTGACGAGAGTCCAATTCCCAATATGACAAAGAACAGAGCTCAGCTGGTCTCCGTTTCTGAACTGTGCCACCTAAGAGGCTGAGACATGCCCCTTCTCACACCAGCAGGGAAACAGCAACCCCGAGGCTTCCTCCACAGTCTCCAGCACCCCGACAGGCCGCCATAAAAGGCAAGCTGGAGTGCGCTGGCAATCTGTTCTGTGTCCTGACCAATAAACATCGCTAGCACACAAGGAACAAGCGCTCCAGCCTATCAGGGGTGGTGTTAATTTGGTGACATCACAATTCAGTTGTCAGAAATTAAATGTAGCAGAGAACAAAACACCAAGGAGGAGCCAATGGTCCCAGCACATGAACTCAGGGCTAAGAGAGATTTCTGGGACCATCTGTTTCGACCATTTCGTTCAGGAAATGTGGAAACTTTCGGTCTAGAGAAGTTGAGCAACTGGTGAAGGGGCAGAACTCCAATATGTTTCCTGATTCTTAACCAAGCTCTTCCCAGCACACAGCGCACCTCAGTGGGAAGGTCAGGGCTGGTTGTGAATATACCTCTTGTTTGGTTTTCGTGGTGTAGCCCTGGACAGACTCTCTGGCCACCAAGCTCTCCAGTGCATCCTGGACGGTACGGATCTTGTCAGACTGGATGTCCAACTGCAGTGTGAAGAACGGTTGCAGTGTGGCTGACTCCTTTGAGCTCTGCTGGTAAACCACAGACCTAAGAATCGACAACAAGACCAGAACTGTTAAGAGGCAGCGTCTGCTTCGGCTCCTCTCAGACGACAGCAGGAGAGAGGTGGGTGCCCACCTAAGATTTTTCAAAACTCATGTCTGAGTTACAGAGACTTCTGCTGAATACCACCAGTTAAGTGTTTAAATCTATCAGCTAGTAAACCGTCCCAACTCAAGTGCCTGGAGGAAACCATACTTTCTTCTTCCAAATCTTCTACCCCACCCTATCCCTGATGGCACCAATTAGTAAAGGCTGCTATCTGGGGACAGTCCCACAATGTTCACGGCTTTGGTTTTCTCAAAGTATCCTAGCCTATTCTAATAAAACAGTAAAGGCCAAGTTGAATAGCATCTATTTAATGGCATTTTCCCAGTACAAAGGACTTAGAAAAAAGAAGAGAGGATGGCGTGTGCAATAAAAAACAAGTTAACATTCCAGGAAAATCGGCCACTACCCTTCCAAGCAGAAAAGTCCCAAGTCAATCTTATCTCCTTAACTGAATTTTCACCTCACTGTTCTGTTTCTAATCTCTCTGCGTGAAGACTGTGTGCTCGGCCAGCGCTCATTAGCCTGAGCGAGGGAACGTCCCAGAAGCTCAACAAGGGCTTCTATTTCTGCGTCCGAGGGACCTAGTTTACAAACGGGACGAAACGGGTGTGGGGACATTCCGGCTTCCGAGGCAGCTGCTGGGAAGAACAGGTTAGAAGGTCCTCCGGCCTGGTGTTGGAGGGACACGCGTAGCTTCCGGCCACAAGCTACGTAAAGTATCTCCACACGCCTTTTTAGTACAAACACTTCAGTGCCAGCCACTCCCTCGGTTCCAGAAAGCAACAGTGAGAAAACCAGTCATTAAAATTAGTGAAAAAAAGTCAAGCAGCAGGCTTCTTCAAGGGCCCATGATTTCTCAAAGCAGGGAACACAGGAATCAGGGACATGGACACACACACGCACATGCATGCACACACGCGGGTCTTTCTGAGGAAACCAAGCAAACACTGGAAGGCCTGAATTTCAGGATAAAACCTTTCAAGTTGTCTGATAAGGAAGCCTGCTTCATGGCGACTGTGATCCACAGACAAGCAGTTGCCCCTGAATTCTGAGTTAATTCCTTATTTCTGCTGTGCCATTTTCCAAAAGGACTAGCTTGCAAACAGCCCCTTTCAATACAAAGACCCCACAGAAGCCAAGGCTAGTGGCCATGACACAGCCTTGACTCAGGGGCAGTCATTTCTCCACAGTGGACTCTATTTTCCATTGGTCACTCCCAGACTGACCTGGGATCTCTGGGTATGGTGGTCACCTGTGGCCTTGCTAATGTGATACCCACCTATGCCCCAGAGGTGCTTCCACCCACTGTAACATCTGAGCTGTTCCCTTCTGCCTGCTCCCCTGTCAGTGAGTGGTCCAACAACCCTAACACCTAGGCTTCACAGACACCTAAGGACACAGACAGACTCCCTCATTGCCACTAGCCAACCTGGATCCTAGCTTGCCTCCCTGCCAAGCACAGCCCATCCCAAGGAACCAAATCTGGCAAGAATGGTCACAGCTGTGGTGCAGCAGCAGTGGACATGGCCAACACAGGCCACTTCAGGACAGAAAATGGCCTGCAAGGCCAGCTGACAGCAGAGAGCAGGCATGACCAGCTCATGGGCATGTGGTCAGTGCACAGGCTCCCTGAGTCTCATTCTAGACAGGACCATGAACTTGCTCCTGAGTGGACCTGTGTGCACTTCTGGAGGTTTCATGAGCCTGCTCCAGCTGCTCAATGGACGTTATCACAGAGCAGAGACAGAGTGTGAACAAACTCATGATACCCTGAAAAGGGCATGATTTCTTTGGATACACACATTAGGGCAAAAGGTATGTTAAGAGTCTCCCTGAAATACCACTCCAGGAGGTTACGCTGAGAGGCCTCCAGAGAGCAAATTACGTCAGAATGGGGCACTCTTAGTACCTCGGGAGAGTAAATCTCCCAGGAGACAGTAAGCGCTTTACTGAGTTCCACAGCCAGGCACTGAGAGGCTCGAACATAAACGAATCAACATTGTCAGGACTTCGTTAGCCAGCAGAAGGCAGCTGGCTGACAGGGCCCCACGCAGGCCGCAGCACTCCTGCCTACTCAGTGCTGTGGCCCTTAAACAGCCCTCTCTCCATGCCTGTTTCCTGTCCTGGCTCCACCTGGTTATGGAGCCTAACACACCACGTATGTCAACACATTTGCTTTCTTCTTCCCATCGAGCTGTGACCAGCCGGCCTCGAGGAACTGAGTGCGGATGGAGTAAGGGTGCAAGGTGACGGCTATGGCTGACAGCCTTGGCAGGGTGAGACCAGTGGGACCAGCAAGTGAAGAGCAAGGAGGGAGGGTAAGGGAACCATCGATTCCAAAAGCCCTCGGGGCCGTCACCCCTTCCCACCTTCCCACGACGGCAAAACCCTGGAAAAGGCAAATGCTCGATTCTTCCAGAAAAGCACAGACCTGATGTGTCCACCAAAAATGCCAGTGATGGGGGTCTGAGCAAAATCCGCCTGCCGAGTGACTGAAGTCTTATTTCTGGGGCCCACTTGTTCCCATTCTTCTTCACTTCCTTCGCCAGGTTCTTCCTGCTCATCTTCGTTTACCAAGTGGCTTTTGGGCCCATTGGAAATAGTGAGTTCTGAAAAGGAGAGAGTCTGCTTAGACCAGTTACAGCAACAGTCCGAAAACCAGGTTCTGCACTGACCACCTAAACAGATCTGTCAATTCAGAGTTTTAAAAACAAAATCAGGGCATGCTCTAAAGTCACTATAAACACATACAAACATGTAAGTCTACTGTATCTGTGACTGAATAACCACTGTAATGGGCATCCTTGGGCCACGAGGAGAACTCCGAAGCTTGCCTGGGACGTGGATTTTATTAAGCAACTACTGTTAGCTCCTGTAATATGGGAAGGGACTAGTGGTTATGGAGGAGAGTGTTCTTGCCTTTCTTTAGGACACACACACTTTAGGATTTAGCAGAAAGGTGCACTGGTATCTGACAATTATGAATCATTCAGGAAAAGATGTGTACAGATGTGTGTGTGTGTGCGCACACACGTGCAGAAAGATATATAATGGTGAAATGTTAACAGCTGCAGAATCTAGTGCCACACACAGGTATTCACTGAACTGTTCTTCTGGCTTTTCCGCAGGTTTTATCACTTTCCTAATTAACAGTTGAAGGAAAAAGGAGGTTTCCTGATTTATTCCAATACCACATCCTCAGTGGACACAACAATGTAGGTTACCTTGCAGCACGTCACTGAGCTGGGATGAACCACTGTGGCCCACGCGGGGTCCCACTTCCTCCCAGCGGCCCCCATCTGGGAGCCCTGCTGAAGCCTGGTCTGCATCACAGCAGCACGGCCACCACCGATGACGGGGGAGGCCGCACTCGGGGTCACTGGCTGGGAAACCAACTCGGGCCTCCTACGTGGGAGGCAAGACTTCCAGCCCCGGACCACCACTGCCTGCTGGTACAGTGAATGGTTTTCTAATGAGTCACGACGACTCTGAAGGGCAGATGACTATGGGGGACCTCACCCTACGGGTACGCGGCATGGGTTTAAACACAGTTCTCAAGGAATGCTCGCACTTACAGAACCGACAGTCACGGCGTCACTTACTTTCGTTACTGGGCGAGAGCAGTTTCTTTAGATTCAACATCTCCTCGTGCAGGCCGTTGAGAATGAAGCCCAGGTACTCCTCCGCGTCTTCCTGCCGGCCCTGCAAGGGTCAAACGCACTCACACTGACCCGTCCTGACCATGCTCCGGGTCAGCAGGCTAGACTGTGCACACTCAGACCTGCCCCTGACACGCTCAGGAACATGAAAGGAAAAGCACACACATCAAATCACACGGCTTTTATTTCTCGACAGAGTGGAGACCCCCAGAAAAAACAAAATGATTAAACAGTTTCTCTCCAGGTAGAGGAACTATAGGGAATTTTCACTTGCTCCTGTGGTGTGAAAACTGCTTTCTCTGCTTAAATGAAGTAGAAGAGTGAGGGTCGGAAGCCCGAGCGCCTCCCGACAAGCTCACAGGCTGCCATTCTCACTGTGGGGGGATGAGCTACCCAGTGCGTCACCTGCACTTGTGGGGATGGAATCTGGAGGGCAAGAGCTTACACGTCGTCTGAAAACTGGACTGACTTAAGACAGCCACCTAACTGGTGCCTGCGCTCAGCCTCTAACGTGCTTCACTGGTGGACTACATCTCACATTTAGATCTGTAAACACAAAAGGGACCGAACAACGTCCAGGACAGCCACCTAAGACTTACTGTGCAAGCATCAGTTCACATACAAGAACTCCATCTAACCACCAGTCCCTCCAGCTCTTCACTGGAGGACGAAGCATGTCCCATGAGGCTCCAGGGCATGAGGCCTCGGGAGGGCACCGCCCCACATGCTTTTTCCTTTTCTGCTGTGGGTCTGTACTCAGGTAATTAGGTGCAGTGCTGAAGAGAACTGACTCCAAAGCCAGACTCTGCATTTGTGATGTGCCCTTGCACAGTGACTGCACTTTTCTCAATTATAATACGGAGATGAAAACCATACTTTTTCCTAAGTTTGCTAAGCAAATTATCTGAGAGATAATTAAACAGTGCCTGGCTCACAGTAAACACTGAGTTAGCTCTGACCACGAGGATGGCTATCAGCAGCAGCCACTTTAAATTCACACTAGCACCTGATTCCACAACAGGCCCCAGGCTGCTCCTGAGGACTCAACAAACTACAGCCCATCAAACAGCACAAATGTGGGATAAACCAAAAGACCCAAGCCCACCACCCTGGAGTCGATGGCGACTCCTGGCAACCAGAGGACAGAGGAGAACTGCCCCACAGGCTTCTACGGCTGTCAATCTTTACAGACACAGGTCTCATCTTTCTCCCGTGGAGCGGCTGGTGGGCTCGAACTGCCGACCTTTTGGTTTGCAGCCGAACGCTTTAACCACTACACTGCCAGAGCTCCTAAGCATGGAATAAGTGACAGTTAACTGGAGCCCAGAGCAAAGAGCAGCACTTCATACAGCTACGTCAGATGGTCGCCAACCTTTTCAGACAGGCTTGACTTGATGACTGTCAGGAGTTGATAAATATACGTGGGCTCAAAGGCAGCTCCGGGGCGGATGTCCCGCACGATTTTATCCCCAAGCGCTGCAGTGGAAACAGGACACAGGTTTTCAGAATTACAATGTATTCTTAGATGACGGAACCCACCCATCCGAACTCAGCCGCTAGGATGGCGAGAACAGCATGGGGACAGCGACGTGGGTCTCCTTTCCAACAAGCCTCAAGTTAGCAAACTGGGTCCCCTGACTTCTCACGCCCCATATGTGACAGCCTCGGGAGGCTGTATTTTCACTCACCTTGTCTGGGTTTTGGAGGTACTGGCATATTAGTGAACTCATTCATTAACCGAACACTACGTATGAAAAGAAAAGAAAAGAGGTAAATAGTGTCTTTAAGGGGAAAAATAAAAAAGACATACTTTTACTCAAGATCCCTGATGACTAAAAACCAACACCCAAAGTCACCGCTATCTAGTCGATTCCAACACATAGCAACACTACAGGACAGAGTCTAACTGCCCCATAGGGTTTCCAAGGCTGTCAATCTTTATGGAGGCAGACTGCCTCATCTTTCTCCTGCAGAATGGCCGGTGGTTTCAAACCATCAACCTTCTGATTAGCAGCCCAATGCTTTAACCACAGCACCACTGGAACCCCTTGATGGCTAAACAGAATATTAATACAGTAGACTTTATTAACTGATAGTCTCATAGCGGATGAGGTCTTAAATCTTTTCTACAGAAGTTGTGGTTATATTTAAGTGATAGATGTTGGGAATATAGGAATGTCTTCTTCTGAATCTACAGAATGCAGATACATAATGCTCCAATTCCACTTCCATTTAAAAAAACTATTATAGGATCCATTTTTAAGAAATTCAGATGTTGGTAAACCACTTCTCATTATCAGAGGGAGAAGCCCCCCCCCCCAGCAGTGTGTTAAACCCCTTACTTACAAGCTGTCTATCATGGGTGTGGACGTGCAGGGCCGCTGCACCTTGGGGTACACAGGAATGAACTTCATCAGGTGATACATCGGCGGACAAGCAACCAAGGCCTGCAGCGTCTACACGGCGGCGGTGAGGAAGCGTAAAGGAAACGAAACAGACAGCGGGCATCTCATAGGACATTCACCACCCAGAGAAGCTAAGACAGCTGAGGACAATGAGCTATTTAGATCTGTAAACACAAAAGGGACCGAACAACGTCCAGGACAGCCACCTAAAATTTAGTGTGCAAGCATCAGTTCACATACAAGAACTCCATCTAACCAAGTTCACCAAATGCACTCAACACAATTTCCAATTTCAAGGGTCACTGTGCTAAAATTCAGAACCATCATTACCAGGACCAAACCTTGCTTGTTGTTTTTTTTTTTTCTTTTTTTAAGGCATAACCTTGCTTTTAATGAATAAGGTTTTAGGATTCCGGATTTGGGTTAGATGCCCCATGGCCACTGAATGAAATCAAATGCAGCCAAGCAGGAGAAGACTGCATGGAGCGAGCATCCGAGAAGGATACAGCATTAATGTAGCACCAGTTTCCTTTATTGATCAGCCCACGGGGTTGCAGTGACACTGGTTTGTGTATTAGGGTTACAGTCTCCAGTAACTCTGAAAGATCAAAACAGCATACATTAAGATATTAATGAGATCCAGTGAACAATATTTCAATCACTTACGCTGTTCTCTGCGCAGAGTGAAAAACTCCTTCAGGAAAGTCTGACTCCAAAGAGAAGGCACCCGATAAAGTTTTGTTCAGTTCAACATCATGTACACTACTGAATAATTAGAATTGTTTTCACGTTAATTAATTTTCCCAAACACCAACACATATTTATCTTCCTGTGGGAATGTAACTACGAAACACGAGAACTATAAGTTTTAATAAGAAACTGAAAACTTAAAAACACCTTAGGTCAGTGTTCAAAAACAGAACTCAGAGACTCGGGCCTTTTTTCATAAACAGCAGGGCACACCTCATTAACGGCGCAAGTCCCTCAGACACCAGCTGTGAGGAACCTAGTCTTACTCACCCCTGAATCCCCAGCAACTAACTGTCCCCAACACAGCCAAGTGGGTGCTCAGTACCAGTTCAGTGAGCAAACATACTTGTCACTGGGACATCTGTCCCCTACTAATTAACTCTATTTTTCCAATAGAAGGCCAACTTGGGGACCATTCTGCACACTGTAATTCCCTTATTCTGTTCAGAAGCAAACCAGACTTCTCATCCCAGAGGAAACCTGTGACGTTGTATATCTTCCTAGCTGTAAGACAGCTAGGAATGCCAGCTCTACCCAATTACCCATCAGAAATGCTGAAAGGGAGACAAGGTCGCCCTGTGTCCCATTATGAACTGTACAACCGTGACAACTACAACTTACTGGACACTTTCTACACATAGCATGTGCTCTACAACTAACTAATAAATAGTACCTGGCTGCACTTAACCAGCAGGGAGCCAAGGGCAGTACTACTCACCCATTCGTCAGCAAGGACAGTGAGGCTCAGAAAGGTAGAAGAGATCGCCCATGACCACCCAGGATGGAGGTCGGGCAGCCCGGGCCTGAGAGCCACAAGCTGGTGGCCCTACCACACTGCACCCCTTTTTCACTGTGTACTAGGAAAAAAAAATTAAGAAGGAATACGCTGGTTGCTAGCATCCAGTCAAGTGCCACTCCAAGAAAAGAAGTCTTTCTTTTCTAAAACACAGGGGTACTGGCTCCAGTTTTAAGACAGAGAAACTGCAAAATGTAAAAGTCAACACACAAACGTACCCTGCCTCCCTCCCTCCCGTGAGTGCCAGCTCTCCCTGCATCTTCCTGCTTGCTTTAACGAGCAGACAGCCTGCTTAGAGATGGGCCCCAAACTGGTCAGCATAAATGCAGTCGAGTCCTTCAGCACCGCCTAGTGCTTTGTTTAGTAACTGCAATGAACATAACAGTTGAGGTAGACAGGAGATTCCCCCGGCCCCCAAAGCTCCCAGACCTGCAGAACAAAGGGACACTCAGGACATTCATTAAGAGAACGCCCTGAACTGGCTCCTTCCCCAGGTTTCAATTTGGAAGAGCCCTCTGGTATACTAGTCTTCAGAGCTTCACAGACTTAGAAAACACGGGTAAGAGACGCTGAGCAGTTTAGGAAGGTTTTTCTCTATAGCAGCAAACCTTCCACAGGCAAAAATATGAGAGTGCTCTGCTGCTAGCATCTTCCAGTGAGTCTGAATCCTACTCTCAAGTTAAGACTGAATGACAGTGCCTTCCCTGGAGGCCCCTGGGACTGTCAACACTCTATCACCATGTTAGCAGGTGTCATCACCATTGCATGTCCTTCCTTGGACAGGAAGCTCCTTCAAGACAATACTCTCAGGGTGCTGCCAGGCCAAGAGTCCTCCCACCGAGGTAACAGGATGAATGACTTGCTTGGCCCCAGACTGATCCTGCCATCCCTGTTGGCTACATCAAGTCTTCTAGCCTCTCCCCTACATCCCTCTGCAAATGACTGCTTCTCTGAGGGGAAGAACTGCAGTCTGCTCCCTTCTGATCTTATTCCTGACGCTGCCCTCAAGGTCAGGACTACCCTCACTCATTCACCTGGACACATCTGCATACAGAAAGTGCTCATTAGGCAATAACACAGGGTCAATTAGCTATCTGCTCACGACAAGGAGTAACACTAAAGTCTGTAGAAGTGACCCAATCCGTTTCAGAGGTCGAGTTTTACAACACAGTTCAGTCTGCCAAGGAGGCTCTGTGGGGAAGGACAATAACAAGAGCAAGAGCCAGGCACACGAAGTGGAAACCCTTGGGGTCCAACCTGGCTCTGCACTTCATTCATTCTGCAACCTAGAGCTCTTACTGAACTCCTCATGCGAGGCCCAGAGATGAGACCGCTGCACCCAGCACGGCCACAGTGAGGACGGGCAGTAATGTAAAGCAGCGCGTGTGTGGCAGGGTGGCCAGCTCATCACACTCACGCACGAATCCCGATTCTGAAACAAGGCGCTAACACAGCTGGGAAAGGGGTAAAAAGGAAATCAGTTAATGGAAGAGTGTGAGAAACCGAACAAGCTGCAGAGTTCCAGGAGAAAGAAGTTAGTTTACATTCCTTAAAATGCACTTTTGAACATGTATTAATAAAGTTCCATTTCCAAAGAAATAAAAGATTGTGAAAAATTAAGATCCGATACCTTATTGTCCAGGATTTTTCCTTAAAGACTAATTTCCAAAAAATGTAAAGGTTCCGTGTTGTAACATATCATATATGGAGCTTCGTCCAGCCCCACTCCGAACAATTTCAACACCACAAACCAAAGCAGACGCTGAAAAGTGAACGAACTTCGTTGGTGAGCCTCTCTTCTTAGGCCTTGTTGTGGGAGTCCACTGCAGCAAAGCTATCCTCCTTCTCTTTAAACAGGCAATACCGTTACTGAAGTGAATTCTGCCTAAACTGCGCAGTCAATTTTGATTTATTCACAAGCCATTATGAACACTGCTGTCCATTTTCTAACATTACTCTTTGTTGTATTTCACTAACTGCCTTTTATAACCACATCACCATTTCCATGTACCATTGGATTCCGAGCCTGAAGTTCAAAAAGTTCACTAACTATGGAGGTCAAACAGTGAAGGGTGGCCACAGTGGACCAGGGGGCAGAGAAGGTCAAGTATTTCTGAGGCTGCAACTTTAAATACAACCTGCGTCCCAAAGTCTTCACTGTTGGTTTCTCTATTTCACCTTGCTTAAGGGCAAATCACTTCTGAGCCTCCTGCCAGAGGCCACCTTTTTGATCAGTCACTGTTGCTTAACGGGCTACTTGGACTTCGGCCTGCTTAGATACAGCTTTGGGAAGATGGTTACCCATCCATCCACCTTTCCCACAGAGGAGGTGGTGGGGCTGCCTGCCTGGATGTCCCGGCACGTAACGACACAATGCCTCCACACCATATAAAACATAACAAAACTGGGACTGGCGTCTGCATGTCTATAGTGGCTCAGATACCAAGAGGCTGGATGAAGCTAAGCTCTAACATCCTTTCTCTGATCTCATGACACTTGGCTGACAGGTGTGACTCCACAGAAATGGTCTGAGCTCAATGGTGACACTAGATGATAAACGTTTACGCCAACATAGGTTACGATGATTCTCACCCATGGTTTATGTGCTGGATTGAGCTTTTCTAAAACGCGAGTTCACAGGTGACACTGCCATTTAAAACCCTTGAGAACACAAGGGGCAGACCATCACTGGTTTCTAAAGTTCAGTAACTGGCTGGTAACTGACAAGTCTGGTGGTGGTGCCATTCTGCCATCTTGCTAACTTCACAACACTCTCCTCACGGCCACCATTTTGGAAGAACATATGCCGTCTTAGTTACCTAACCAGGGGGAGGACAACAGAATGACCAAACATACTACTGCCCATCAGCTACAAATCAACTTGTATTTTACAAACGGTGGAGTCTTGACTGAGTGCCTATGGAATAGGGACATGTCATAAACATCGACAACGACACACACGTACTGAATCGGATATGCACTGGACTTGCAATCTGGTTGTGCCAATTCCTGGAAACAGGTACTCTACCTTAACTCGGGGTGTGCTATGTTATCATCACTGCTTTTGCTGCAGTACAGAATTTGAAGAAATTGAAAATAACAGTGACATCATTTCCTGGGGGGAGTGATTATGTGTGATTTACAAACCATCAAAATAAAGTTTAGAACTATATTTTAATTTACATGAACAAATACAACTATGGCATGGTAATGTTTTCTCTGGCATTAACGTACCCGATGGGAGCTCTGGTAGCATAGTGGCTAAGACACTTGCCTGCTAACCAGACAGCTGGCAGTTCAAACCCACCAGCTACTCCTCGGAAGGAAGGTTGGGCAATCCTACTTCTGTAGCGATACTGCCTCGGAAACCCAAGGAGGGATCGCTATGGGTCGGGGCTGACTCAACGGCACATAACAATAACAACAACAACGTACCCAACAGTAACAGCCTGTGCTGCTCTCCTGCCGCAGGCGTGAAGTTACTGTGCAAAATCACCTATTAAACAGGCTTTGACTAACGACAGGACACTGCTACATGGCTACGTCAACTTGCCCACAGAACAGGAGTGGATTCTCAGAGCTTCAAAGACCTCAGCTCACTGGGACTCCTTCCTCTGGAATCCTGGCTGCTCTGTCTGGACGTTCCCACAGTCGCACTCCTTGCCCACCACATCTTGTACTCTTTAAAACAATGTATTATCGATGCACATTTTAAACACAAAAATAAAAAACAAACTAGCTATCTGTGATTTGCAAACGCTTGATGTAATTTAGGTTTGGGATACAATAAACGTTCCTCAGCAAAGGCCCAGGGAAAGGTTAATGGTCATTAAAAGCAGTGGTTCATTCCCAGCATCACACATACCATCCAGTCTGATCACCTACGCTAGTGGGAGCAACAGTACGGGCCGTCCCGGCACCGCCTGTGGGTCACACCTACTCCTGCAGGTGCGGACACCTAATGTTCGGCAACCGTCTACAAACACCGGCTGTAGTATCTTCCACTTTCTTTGTCTTGACTCCCGGCTCCGTTATTCCCACTGAAAGATGGCAAATCCCCTCAGACTGTGCAGACCACTCATTGCGATCCGGCTCCCTTTGCAACATCCCCCAGCCTTTTGTGCTTCAGTTCTTCCTTCCCTGGGGTTAGGATGAAACCCTCAGCGTCTCCATGTCTCCCTTCCCCTCTCCTTAGTAAGGAGGGTTCACATGAGGAAGAAATAGTGCATGGGACGAAATGCGGACAAAACTATCTACAGACAGAAGCTGACCCTGCCACCAACAAGCAGAACTCGTTAAAATAATGGGAAAGCAGTCTACAAGCCATCAGCACTGTCTGTATTTCTCCTCAAAACACCTTGTATGCGGCTCTTAGTCTTCTTCTGCAGTCGAGTTACTTCCTGATTTGTATTTCACTGATGGTTATGTAAAAATTAGTTGGCATTTACTGAGCACAGACTTAAAGACAGGGGAGATGGCACAGAAACATGGCTCTCAGAAATAATGAACCTGGGATGAAAAAAAGTCTGTGGATGTTATCTTAAGAACAAAGTATTGTATGAATTGTCCCTTTCTCCCTCTTTTCCAAAAGTAAAGAAATGTTATGATAAATATTTACTCTTCAGGAGAGCCTGTTAAATTCTATTGTAACAATTACGAGTGGGTCTTTTAATGGAGCTGGAATCTCAGATAAATGAATGCTGCTCCCAGTAACTGGGTCTACCCAGAAAAGCACCCCATTAAAGGGTTTTCTGGGGCAAGATGCTGAACTTAGAATAAATTTAAGATATTTTATTATTTTCATAAAGTAAATTTCCAAACAGGAGAATACAGCAAAGGGAAAGAAACTTCAAAACAAGGCCACTTACCCTAAGGTCTACAGGATCCCAAGAGTTACTCTGTGTATAAACTTGTTACTACTGTAATGACATTTCAAAGAAGTAACTAATACAGGAAAACCGTAAACAACTACAGGAGCTCTTCTGGGTGTAATGCCTAAGACACTTGACTGTTAACCAGAAGGCTGGTGGTTCAAACCCACCAGCCACTCCTCAGAAGGAAGACTGGGCAATCTACTTCCACAGAGATGCTGCCTCGGAAACCCAAGGAGGGGTTGCTATGAGTCGGATCTGACTTCACGGCAGCGAGTATGGTTTTTTGTTTTTATGTCAACAACTACATTTTCTATTTCTAAGCTCCAACAATCAGGCCTAAAAGAATGAAGTATTTGAAAAGGAACTACATCTTTGCTCAGATAATTGAAACACCTTTACTGTTGTTATTACTGTCAGGTGCTGTCGAGTCGTCCTGACTCAGAGACCCTGTGCACAGCAGAAGGAAGCGCTGCCTGGTGCTGTGCCAGCCCCATGAGCCTTGCTAGACCCGAGCCCATCGCTGCAGCTACCGTGTCAGGCCATCTTGCAGAGGGCCTTCCCCTTCTTCGCTGACCCTCCACTTTACCAGGCGTAAGAAAACATCTTTACAACCGGCCTAACTGAAACGTTTACTGAAGACGGTCAATCTGCTGACGGGCATCCAACCCACTCCGAGCTCAGCAGGTGGACAACCTGGAACGACATTCTTTCTCCTCCAGGGAGCCTCCTCCCGGCAGCGAACAGTTACATGTCAACAAAGGCCAACACAGCCAACCTGTGTATCAGACCACTCTGAGAGTTGTGAGTATGGCAACAATGTTGATAAAATAATTAAAATGAAGCTTTTCTTATTTTAAACAGTGGTTGAGAAAATTTCCCAGGGATGGGAGATTTTCCTCTGTGAAGGAGTTTTCAGGAACAGAAGTAAATAATTACAATGTTTTCATGACTTTGAACTTACGATGCACATTTTAAAAAGCACCCCACCATGTATTTCTTAGAATAGGTTACCAGTAACTTTTCATTGATTAAGCTACAGAGGTCTACACCATTTACTCCCGTGACAGCTGCCCACTGCAATGGGTCCACTGTAAAAGGTTCTTAATGAAGAAATCACTTAGCTTTTAAACTATGTATCAAGTCCAAAGTGATGCTAGCCAGCTCACCCACCAGTTCCTCACTTCAGAAGACTACCAGACACCAAAACTATTCAAAGTAGCATATTCTGAATAAGGAATAAAATGTGCACATTTTAAGAACTGCTTGCTGTCACCCTACTGCTACGAGAAGAGTGTATTTTAACCTTTCCTGATGGAATTCTGCCCATTTGTAAAAGGGTGAGCACTCTGCTGCTTGCTACATGCCCGTCTGACGCTGGGGCGGAGTGGCGTCAGGTCTCCACCACGGTCGCGGGGAGAGGACTACAGACAGCCCCACGAGACAGCAGCGTGTTGGAGGCTGGCCACTGGAATGAGTAGCTCAGCAATGGGCTGCTCACCTCCTCAGGGGAACCGAGCCTGAAGCGAGTGCCCAGGAAGCCCCCATTCAGAAGACTTCTTCCTAAGTCGGTTCTCACATTAAGTCGAATACGTCTCATTTTGCTTTAGTTTTCATTATTATTGGCTTTTATCATCAGTAGTATCTTTAGAATCAGCTCTTTGACCATCTGAGAATGGGCTGCAACACTGCATGCGGTGCTATCACTGACGACAAGATGCCCCCAAACCCCCCAGACTTTGACAAGTGTGGGTCCTCATACTGCAAACACATCGTGAGCTGAGGACTACCTGTCTACACACACACGCTCCTCTGGGTTTGTGGCTTCCTCCTTGAAGGTCAGCTAATCACACAACCTGTGAATTATGCAGCCTCGTAATTTTACTGTGAATCGGTCCTATTTCAGAACTTTAGCACTTTAAAAATGAAATGTTAACTTTGCGCTACACTTCTCTGGAATTTTTCTTTTCCTGTCAGAAGTTAACCTTGGTATGCTAGACAACTCAATAAAATCCACCTCCTCAATCCAAGAGAGGCACCAGAAGGAGAAAACCCTGGAATTCACAGAATCACTTCCTTGTGTCCGAAGAAATTTAAAACAGAAACAGTGCAAAGTGGGTACAAGCCAGGGAGGGGTTGTCACACCAAAGGCACCTGTTAAGGTGCTGCCCAGGTCCCACCTGGGAATAGTCACACAATGACGCACCACCGCTGGGTCAGAGGAAATGATATCTGTTGACAGAAAAGAACCAGTAACAGATGGGGATTTTCCATTTAACATAAAAAACGGGCCCCACCTCCATTTTGCCTCTACGGTTGTTTTGCTCTTAGATAACCCTCAGCAACTCCTCTCAATAGACAGGCCAGCCACCCTGCCTACGGGCGCCGCTGGCTCCCCCCAGGCTCAGCCCCGTTCAGCAGTGGCTGCGAGCCGCCCCCGCCCTCACTCTCGGCATGTGCCTCTTTAACTGTACCTGCGATCTTTATGGCTACAGGATCCTCGGACACGGGCACAAGCCCCTCTCTGACTTCCACCTGCTTTTCAGAGCCCACAGGGGATGTGGCAGGAGGGGGACACTTAGTTTCCACATAAGCCACAGGCGAGGAAGAGGAGGGCTTAGAATCATGGAAAAGACTAGCCCACGACTTAGCAGGCTGACTGGTGGGAGCCGCGGGGTCAGCGCAGGGAGAAGCACTCTGAGGCCGGGCGGGCTCCGAGTCCGTGCTTCCCACCACATGCACCCCCACCCCGTTGGCAGCTGGGTCCTCGCCCGAGGATTCAAGTATTTGTCCATTAGCAACTCCAAGGTTCTCAGTAGTATCAGTACCAAGGTAAGGCTGAGCCCCAGCTGTCCTCACCAGGCTGTCCCTGCCAGCCTCTGCAGGGAGGCAGGCCTGTTCCAAACTAGTCAGGTGGCACAGCGCAGACTGCCCTGCAGTCCTGGCATGACCTTCCAGCCCCCCGGGGAAAGGTCCCTCAGGCAGAGAATCACTGATGAAGTCCAGGGAGCTCTCAGGGCTGTTACAAGTCCTGGGTGTGACCAAGGGAGGCACATCACCCATGAATTCTGCATCCTCCGTGTTTGCACTGTTTGGGACTGCTGGGTGGGCATGGCCGTTGACCAGGGTTTCCGTGGAAATACTACCATCGCTGCCATCTTTCAAGTAACTATAATATCCAGGCGGCCGTTTTTTCTTCTTTTTACGTTCCCTTTGTCCGAGACCACCTGAGACACCATCATTTTCCAAAACTTCAGCTTCCACGTTGGCCCTGCTCTCCAGAGCAGGGGGAGAGCCTGGGTACTGGCATTCGACGGGGCCACGGGTGGTGTCTTTGTCTAGGTCATCAGGGGACTTTTGGGGAGCTGTACAACCAAGAATAAATTCTGGGGCCTGAGGGTTCAATGTGCTTGAAATACTGTAGCTGGGGGTTCTCGGCAAAGTGTCGCTGGGCTCTATTACTTCATTGACTCCAAACTCAATCCTCTGATATTCTTGTCCTGCACAGACAGAAAACAATCAGTAAATACCCCATCAGTTAGCCCACAGCTATATAAACTATAAAACTGCTTGTTTTTTCTTGAAAACTGAAATCTTACATTCTTTTCTTCAGAAAAAAAAGCTATGGCATATTTTATTTCTCTGCTAAAGAAATAGACAACTTGCTGAAAATAAAAAAATAACTATAAAATCATATCTGATCTGGAGATATGAAAAAAGAACCCTCTCCTTCTTGCCCACTCTCTGGGTAGCTAAGGAAAACTTCCGGAAGATACCCATTAGAGTGAATTTATAATAAAAAGAAATAACAATTCACCTGTTTGAAAACAGCCTCAGTAGACTCTGACTTTATTGATTTACTTTATGGCTAAGACTAAGGAATACTTTGATAATTTAAAAAAAAATTACAAGAATTACCCAAATCCAAGGAGCTCTGGTAGCCAAGGCATTTGACTGCTAACAAGGAAGCTGGCGGTTCAAACCCACCAGCCACTCCTCTGAAGGAAGATGGGACGATCTACTTCCGTAGAGATAAGGCCTCGGAAACCTCATCCACTATGAATTGGATCTGACTGGATGGCAGTGAGCTTGGGTACCCAAAGTCACTGCCAGAGTAAATTCTGACTCACAGAACTGCCCCACAGGGTCTCCAAGGCTGCCGATCTTTACGGGGGAAAAAACAAAACCAAAACTCACTGCCATTGAGTTGGATCCCACTCACAGTGACCCCTCCTTGGGTTTCTGAGGCAGTATCACTACGGAAGTAGATTGCCCAACCTTCCTTCTGAGGAGTGGCTGGAGGAACAGCCAACCTTCTGGTTAGCAGTCAAATGTCTTAGGCACTATGCCACCAGCAGCAAAACCCACTGCCTTGGAGTTGATTCCGACCCACAGCGCCCCTACAGGACAGAGCAGAACTGTCTCGTTTGTTGTTGTTATGTGCCGCTGAGTCGGACCCAACTCATAGCGACCCCTCCTTGGGTTTCTGAGGCTTCCATTTCCAAGGCTGTCATCTCTCTGGAAGCCGACTCCTTCACCCTTTCCCCTGCGGAGCAGCTTGTGGGTTCAAACCACCAACGTTTTGGTTAGCAGCCAAGCACCTTAGCCACTGTGCCAGAGCTCCTTAACAATACTGAAGAGCTTAGAAATCATTGCCATATTTAATTAAAAACTAAAACACATTGTTTTTTTAAGATCAGTATAAATTTTAAGTAATAAAGTCTTGTAATCACTTACATATGTCCTTCCCAACATTTTACTTTAAAATACACTAACTAGATTCAGTCATCATATATATACACACACACATATATAATTCACAACAAAAGTGAAATTAAAATGTTTTTAAAGAAAACCGCAATTTCTCTTGTCAGCAATTCCTCATAAAGTTGACAAGATGTAACGTCGAGTCTGTAACTAAGGAAATGTCTCCAGGTGCCGCCCGTCCCCTACCTCTATAGCACTGCTTTAAGCACAGGCCCAGACACCACATGCAAATGGTCTTTAAAGAGATGTGCACAGACTTTAGCATCGCTGCCACCACCCCGCCCTTGGAAAGAAAGGTAAGGACATAAGAAATGCATCTTCCCTGTGCCTAGCGGGGTGTGGAGCTAAGCATGGTACTGCTCGCTGTTCCTCTACACAGCTGGGAAGTGATGGAAGAAGGGAGTAAAGGCAGCCACACCTCTGGGATCGTCTTCCTTGCAAACTGAGGACAGTGTCAACGTTTATTCACGGAACTAAACTTGACTGATCACTTCAAAGGTCAACGGTTTACAGCATATGTTTCACTCAACCTTCCGAGCAGCTTTCACGTGTGCAAGGCCCACAGCTGGATGGAGAAGACAGAGCAGACCACCATGCCATCAGTGGGAATTCACTGAAGCCCCTCCACATGGCACGGAGAGGCAGTGCCAAGGAGCACAGCCACGTGAAGGAGCTCCTCAAGCAGATCTGTACAGTGTGGCTGCCTTAGTTTTGAAAATCTCAAGAATATAAATGCCACAAAGAATTACTCCTCTGTCTCCACACACAAGGCCTGCACAGGTGCTCTCTGAATTAGTCACATCTTGGTCACCCCACTGACACCCTCACGGAAGTCTGGGAGAGGTCTGCTCGAGACACGTGCACGCCCCACTTCACACTGGGTCCCCTCCACGGGCAGAGCCAGTGCTTCCACAAGTCCCCACAGGCCAAGTGCAGACCAACCTTCTGCACAGACACCGGAAGCCCTCAGTACTTCTTCCTAATTGAGCGCAAGCAACCTGAGTCACCCCCTCGAAGATGTTACCGAATCCGTCACGACTCTGAATTACCTTACTCTTGGCACCCATGGTGTCTCTCGAAAGGCACAGAACATCAAGGCCATCTTCCATGTGACGAGAGTCAGGAAGCCACAGGTGATGAAGGACAGGACACATGCTTTATTGTTCATTTTTAATGGAGAACTCTGAAGCTGTCCTGCACTGTGAACTTGATTTAAAGTCAAGTGCAAGGCTGATTTTTTTCAAGGGACAATTTTAAAGAAAAACATCCTAATACCAAAAGAATTGTGCTTATTACAGAGAACTGAATATATCTGAACATATTCAGGGACAGACCTCTAGAAGTCTTTTTCTAGAAGAATAAGAAAAGACAGGGCAAGGGAGCAGTCACAAGTACAATGTGGGAAATTGTAGTGAGGACAGGGCTGAGCCCAGCCCCTGTCACTGTGTTGGAAGGGGCTGACTCAAGCCCTGATGGGTCAGGCCTGTACAGTGCATTTGTGCCAGACATCGCCCCTCCCTCACTAAGAGGAGAACACTTCTGCCCAACAAGAAGTGCCTGAAAGGACAATCCTGCCACTGGGTACACCCGGCAGCCGGTTTAGAGAGAGAGCTACTGACAAGATATCTTGATTCCTTTGCCCACTGAGTCCTGACTTTGTACTTTGTTTCTTTCACTCTGAGAAGAGCTCCCAAAGAGAAAGGAGCTTCTTTATCGCTAACACTTAAAGGCTGGCTGTCGCTGTGCTTCTGGCCATCACCTACCATGAAGCTTCAGGAGGCAATGCTACATGGACTGCTGCGGGCCGACCTAAAAAAGTAAAGGACCTTCCGAGGCTCCCCTGTGGGCATGACACCACATTATGACCAGTGCCACGGGGCTTGTGCGAGATCCTGGTTGTTTCCTTCTGCATCTCAGCTCCTACCACAGCACAGTTATCCCAGCGTGTGAGACAACACCCATGGAGCAATTGTACCATGCTAAGAAAATCACAGAAACACATGCCCAGTGCAGCGCGTGACCACACGGGGTCCTACCCCCCCCAGACATGTGTCCACACCGCACCCCACAGCAAGGCAGACCGAGCCACGTGTTGTGCCAGGCCGGAAGGATGGTGGAAGGCCTGCCAAACTCGCATTTTCAAGAGCCCAGTCGGCACCTGGGGAACTGACTCAGCACTCAGGTCACACAGGCCTGTTCAGAACACCCAGCACACACACACGCACCATGACCTGGGGTGCCTGGCCAGGGTCCTGGAGTCAGCACTGTCTAGAGCACTGGGTGACACCTATACCACCGCTGCTGGAGAGCAAATGCCAACGTGGCCTCCACTGGTCTCTGCAGTCGGGTCTCAGCTCGTCACTCCTATGACCACAGCACACTCACAACATGTGCAGGGCACTGAGCTGGTACATCACAGGCACGTCCCTGGCCTCAGGGAGTCCACATCCACTAGGGGGGCAAAGCCCCATACCCTGAGAATAAGGGTACAGAGAGTGAGAGGGCCCTGGGCAGCATTACAGAGAAAGTACTCTGGGACACAGAAGAATATGACTGGTTTCAGTGGGAAGCTATGGAGAGGTCTGTGGAACTGGGAGGACAGAGGGCCATGCCACGCTTTGGGAGCTGGCTGAGAAAGGCAGGTACACACGTGAGGGTTGGCGATGAGCCTGGAGGCAGCCTGGTGCAGCTGGCTGTGGCGGGAGGGAGCAGATCCATCATTTGCGATCACTCATCCTACAAACACGCTGTGGGCTGCTCACATTCCATGTTCCACCCTGTGCAGCTGCCAGACACCCAGATGGATAAACGACAGCCCTGCCATCAACTGCTGAACTCAGTCTTGGGGGGAAAGACTCCATACCGTGCAGTGGGAGAGACACTGGGAGAGAGAAACGGAAATACAAGAAAACAGAAAAGGCTCCAGGCAAGAGGGGGCCTTTCACTGGCCTATCACCAACAGCCATCAGGTGGCAACATTCCAGTTATGTTTTCAGCAGGACAGCAGGTGAGCTGGAGGCAGACAGCAGAGCTGGGGAAAGAGTGACAGGGCAGTGGCCTAAACCTGGGGACGTGGCTGGGAAAAGGCTGGAGAGGGGTGTGGGCAGAGTGCTATGGGGGTGGGGACTAGGCTGTGAAAAGGAATTGGTGGTTCTCACATGTCTAACCTAGGCCACTGGGAAGGTGGCAAGGCCGAGAAAGAAATTAAGAAAGAAATGGATGAGGAAAGACGGGGTAGTGCGAAGGGGAAACCTGACACATTCTAAACATTCAAGGAGCCCTGGTGGCACGGTGGGTAAGGCATTTGGCTGCTAACCAGAGGTCAGTGGTTCAAACACACCAGCTGCTCCGTGTGAAGAAGATGAGGCAATCTACTTCCGTAAAGATTTACAGCCTTGGAAATCCAATGGGGTTGCTACGGGTCACAGTCAACTTGATGACAATGAATTTTTTTAGAGGGGTGGGCAGCACAGGCCAGTCTCATGACGCCCAGGCACACGCATTCAGGACACGAGCAGGACAGAAAGCAGCAAGGAGGTGAAGGCTGGCCCCACAGCCATGCTGTCTCCATCTGAGGACTCCTCCCAGCTCCTAGGAGAGGGGCTCCTTTCCTTCTGGTCTTGTACATTACAATTAAGAAACTGTCTAATAATTTGTTTGTTCTGTAAGAATTCCCAGGTGTATAGTAGAGTTGACAAGGGACAAGGTTGTAGTCACTTCTTGGTCACAGCCAGCTACCCAGAGGGACCGAGTAGTTGAAC